CACTGATTGGTTTGACAGCTCTATGCTATCTCGAAGTCATGTCGATATTCCCTCGAAGACTTTTTGAGTGTGGCTCTTCAGTCGGGTTGGCCAGTATAATGCGCAGTCTGCTATGTCTCCTTTGTTCTTCCATATCGGGATCGTGTGCTGTTATACCAATCGCGAGACCTACTTTTGCTCTATACGGTTTGATTGATGAGACTGGTTAAACATGAGACTCCGGATTGTCCACATATTTTCCAGAACTCTCTTGGTATGTCACCTGGACCAGTCGCTTTGCCATTCTTTGTTTTTCTCACAGCTAGTCATAGCTCTTCTCCCGTGACTGTCTGCTACTGGTCCTTCTCCGGAACTAACTTCTGAGATGGAGTTGACTGTCGGCTTGTGGTGGCCACCTCTTCGAAGTGGGTTCTCTATCTTTCGGTAATGTCCTCTGGTTTTCTTAACGTCCTATCAAGTTTGTCTTTAATGTGGAGGAAGTTCTCCATATCTTTTGTGGACTAGCTCATTTTTTTTCGCTATTTGGTATATCTCTCACGCTCTCCCGTGAAGACTCTAGTTGCTCGTAGATATTTTCCACGTATACCTGTTTAGCTCTCTTTACAGAAGCCATCGCAGCATGTTTGGATTGGTATGACTGACGGTCGTTCTCCGATTTTGTATTACACCATCGCTTGTATGCACCCCTTTTCTCCTTTATGACTCTTTGCACTTCGTCATTCTACTGCCATGTTTCTCGAGTGATCCTTCTTTTTCTTGTTTTTGTACTTCCCAGGACCATGTGTGCCACTTGGTGAATTCGATCTTTCAACTTGCCCAGGGTTATTATGGGTTCTCTTGCAGTCTTGGGAGAGTTGTTATCAGTGCTTGTTTTGCTGCTTTGCTAATTTTTAACCTACACCATTTGATGCGTGCCTTCGTCTCTGTGGCTCTCCTGGTGCGCTTATCCATTGTTATCCTAATGTCGAGAAGCAGTGGCTTAGAGGTATGCAGCTCTCACCGGGAATGACTTTACATTTCTATACGTTTCCGTGGTCACGTTGTCGGATAGCCCAGAAGTCTATCA